TGAAAACTTCTCCCACAAACAGAACTTCAGCTTCTCAGTGGGGATGTGTGTTCAGGAGAGGAGGGTCTACCTTTCCCACTTCCATAGTGGGGCATTCACTGCATTTTGGGGTGGTCTCCTAGGTCCTGCTGTGTCTTGCAGGAAGGGTCTGCTTCCTTCAGAGGTCGGTGGGTCCTCTCAGGATTGCTGGTTTGTTCTTGTAGCTGACCTGGAGCTAAAATTCACAGTGTGAGCCTCCACATGCTCCTCTGTGCAGAGCTGCAATCTAGTCCTTCTTCCCATCCACCATAAGATCCAAATCCTTGGGTTTTCTATTTTCAGGACACTAATTATCCTTACGTTGCATCATCTTTGTTTTCCATAACTATGGAACTATTAGCATCTCTCTGAATAATTTGTCACTTTGTTTTTTTTAATTAGTATTTTATTTGATTATCTCAAGTTTTTTTCTATGTCATTAATTTTTAATAGTATATATTCTGTTTCTTGCTGTTTATAATTTACTATTAGTTCTGTAATGGTATGATTTGGTCTTCAATTTGTTGCCTTTGGTCTGGGATCTAAAAGGTTGTGAGGAAATGACTTATGCTTCTTAGTTTTCTTTTCTTCTATGTATATTTTTTCATGATATCTCTCTCTCTGTCTCTTCCTCTGCATGCAGTTTCTTTTCCCTTTATTTATGCTCATATTTGTATCACTCTTGTCTCTAGATGTTATGTTTGCTGTAATAAATGAAATTCTCTTTTCTCAATCTAAGATTACTTTGATCTCTCCTCTGAACTATACAATTTGAGGCTAATGTACCACATTCTATCTACCCTTCAATGCTCTAGAAGAGATTGGAGTAAGGAATGCAGTTTAAGGAGATGAACAATCTTTATAAGCATACTCAGGCTCTGCTCCTTCTCTTAGGATTTTGCTAAATCTGTCATTCCAGAACTCACTTTGCCTACCTACAGCTATACCTCAGTTCCATTGGGGGATACTCTCAGCTTGTATTATTTCCCAATTGTGTCCCAGAATCTCTATCTCTTTTAAGATGCAGACCCTTTTACACTCATTTCTCCACAGCAGGTGTTTCCACCACTCTGTTCAGAACAATAAAAAGATCAGATTTTTTTTGTTGTTTTTTTTTTTGAGTCAGGATCTTGCTCTGTTGCCCAGGCTGGAGTGCAGTGCAGTGGTGCAATCTCAGCTCACTACAACCTCTGCCTCCTGGGTCCAAACAATTCTCCTGTCTCACCACCGGAGTAGCTGGGACTACAGGCATGTGCCACCAGGCCCAGCTGGTTTTTGTATGTTTAGTAGAGATGGGGTTTCACCATGTTGGCCAAGCTGGTCTCAAACTTGCAACCTCAGGTGATTCACCCGCATCATCCTCCCAAATTACGGGGATTACAGAAGTGAGCCACCATGCCCAGCCAAAAAGATCGGCATTTTAATTCCATTTGTCACTTTCTAGATTTTGAAATATAAATTAGACATCTCAGGTTTTTGTTGACTAGCCAGTAGGATGGTTAGGGTTAGGAGCTGAGCCATGTTGCTTTCCTGCTGCTTCACTCCACAATCCTCATCTTTTCTTGGCACCATGTTTTGAAGTTTATTGCATTATATTATGCCTCTGAGGTCACTGATAGTGACTTTCAAGGGTTTTTAAAATTCTTTCCAATTTTGCAGGTATTATGGGAGGGCAATTTAGTGCAGCCTTAACGAAGTTGAATAATGCCTCCTGTGCATGGTCCTGGACTTGTATTGCTTACTTGACCACCAGTGACCCAAGACCAAGACACTTTATGCTGCCACTGGTCAAACCCTGAGTTCATGATAGGGTGTTGAAACAGCCCGCTGTGGCATGAAAAAGGACAAACGCATCCTTGAAGTGTCCCCCAAACGTATCTTGTTGTTAATAATAATATTATTTTTAAGCCTTTACGTCTTTCACTAGAAACTTATCTTTTTCAGGGTCTGAGCCCCACAGAAATCAATGTTCTAATTAGAAAATAGTAGCTAATTTGGCCAAATGCTAATAAATGAGAGGTGTGATTTATCTGGCTACAGTGAAACAGCTCAGCATTAACAATGGAAAGGTCTGTAGAGGACAGAGCCTTTTTTTTCCTTACTCTTCCCCTTAGCTGATTGAGTTCAGCCCTATGCTATAAATAGCCCTTCTAATTAATGGCTATCTGTTTGAAAATCAGTTATCAGGACCACAGTTTAGGAGCCTTTACCTTTGAAATTCACAGAGACTATTTTGTGTCTCGGTGATAAGAGAATGATAATGTGAGTTCAGAGCTAAACCTACCTACCCACAAATACCAACGCACATCATAGCCTACCAACACATTTTTCAATCTTCCTGATAATGGATACAGATTTTTAAACAATCACTCCAACTGCAAAGAGAAGTACTGAACTTTAATATAGCCAGAATGTTTGGCTAAAGCCTGTTGCACTCCAGTCATTTCATGAATCTATAAGCTAAAGTCAAAATGTATATCAAAGGCATGAGTTTGCAATTAGTCGAACAAGGTCTTTTAGAGACCCCCAAAGAGTTCATTTTTTTCCTACATTGAACAAATTAACTGTGTGGCTACTAAAGTTCTTCTTCACTTTAACCTGACTGGATACAGAGTCAAAGGGGGAAAATAGCATGTTTAAACCAAATTGAATAGCTGTCTTCTAGACAACACTCCCCAGAAGGACCCTCCTTGGGAAATGCCACTCAATGCCAGAGTGAATCTCACATTTTGGTGAAGGGCTTGTCATTCGTAGTAAAAGATACTTGCACATCTTGAATGTTTTCTTCTAGTATTTTTTATTTCATCCTACTTACATAATACCCATGCGGAGTGGCAGGTCCTTGTGGCAGGTCCCAGAACCTGCCATATTGTTTCATGACACTAAGCATTTATTAAAACTATTTCCACTATGTAGATGACCTTTTCTGGACAGCTTGCATGTCATCTCCTCTATTAGGCCCCCCAACATCACCACCACCCAGCCTTCAACCTGACTTATAACTCCCTTCCTCAGGTTGTCACTCTACCTGTATATTTTTCTGTCTTAATACCAGTAATCTTTACATCTACTTGATTGATTTCTTATCCATCTCTCTCCAGCCAGAAGGTCTTATTCTTACTCAAATGTACAATTTCTGTATGCTTGTTGACTATGCAAGTGATTATTGAACAACTGCTGAACACCTAGTCTTTGCTAATGTTTGGTTAAATTCAGAAAGACAGGGATTTTTTTTATTTGTTCTCAATTTTTTTTTTATTTGTTCTGATAAACCAGTGGGGAAGACAGACTTCTCTACAACTAGACACAGCAAGCCAAAAAGAGGGGTCTAGGCAGGTGACGAGGCTGAGCTGTTAGTTGGTGAGGCAGCAAACACATAAAAGCTCACCATGATTTAATGTCTCTTCTATGATTTTCATAATCAAAACACACATGCTTCAATGTTTTACACTGCTTACTAATGTCTTTGCATTATAACTCAGACCTGTGCTTCTAAAGTAATGTGCCCACAAATCACCCAGTGATCTTGTTAAAATGCAAATTCTTATTCAGGAGTTCTGGGAGGGGCTTGAGATTCTGCATTTCTTACTAGCTCCCAGGGAATGCTGATACTGCTGATCCATGAATGCCTCAAGTAGCAAGGCTCTACACCATTGTAATGTCAATGTAAACACTGTTGAAGCGGCACTAGTTTTGGGAAAAGCTTCTGGTCTCCCTACCTAGACTCTTCTGACTGTAATTAAACATGATCAACGTTACACCAAGAGAGGTAGATTCAGCAGTGCCCAGAAAAAAACTGGCAAGATGTCTCAGCTTTATTACCTCTTGGCCTTTGTTTTATCATCTAAACACCAAAGGGCTTTGCTCCCGCACTTTAGGTCTGCTGCTACCAGATGCGTGTAGTCTGAAGATGTAGTAAGTTTTTTCCAGATATTCAAGATTGTCTTTTTCTGCTTAAGTCTCTTCCCATATATAAACCATAATATCCCAGGCTCTTTATGGAAATAGAAATGCCTTCTAACAAAACTATAAAGCTAATCAGTTTAAACAATCATAAAGAGAATATTTAAGTGAATTTTACAAAAGAAAAAAAAAAAACTCTGGGCCAGGCATGGTGACTCATACCTGTAATTTCAACTCTTTGGGAGGCTAAGGCAAAAGAATCACTTGAGCCCAAAAGTTCAAGACCACCCTGGGCAACATAGGGAGACCCTAGCTCTACAAAAACAATTTTTTTTTTTAATTAGTTGAGCATGCACTTGTAGTCCTAGTTACTCTGGAGGCTGAAGTGGGAGGATTGCTTGAGCCTGAGAGTTCGAGGCTGCAGTGAGCCATGATCATGCTACTGTATTCCAGCCTGCATGACAGATTGAGATCTTATCTCAAAAAAAAAAAAAAAAAGAAAGAAAGAAACAAAAACAGAAAACCTCTGTAAGCGTCCCATAGGAATCTATTTTCTTAACTCTTAATAATTCCATGAAATCTGTTAACTTTTCAATTCATTAGAGTCTACCACTCAAAATGAAAGTCAAAATCCATTAGACCACTCATTTCTCATTTGTGAGTTTTGAATTCTCCTTCCACGAAGACAAGAGCCCTACTTGAGCTTTTGTCATTTGTATTTCTTCCTCTCTTCTCCACACATTCTTGAGCACTATTCTAGCCCAAGCCAAGTGTTCTATGTATGTCTTCTTCCAATCAGGTAGCTGTCAGAACTCCTCCTATCTGCTGTTCAACTTTGCCTCGCTATAATAATATGCTATTAAACAGGCAGTCTTCGTTATGTGGTCTCCTCTTGTACACTTAGTTTTTTTGCATCATTTTCCCTGACAATATAACGGTAAGTAGAACAGAAGAGGAACTCTTTTCACTGGGCAGAACTTATAGAAGGCACTGGAAGCCACAGCTTGTGCCATGCGTAGTCTGGAGTGGACAAACTTAAATGAACTTTCTTCCTTCTCACTTCTCATGGGCTCATTTAGGTGAATGCCAAAGATGATGAAGGTGTCGTCGTTGGATCCTGGGACAATGTCTATGCCTATGGCGTCCCCCCATCAGCCTGGACTGGAAGTGTTGACATTCTATTGGAATACCGGAGCTCTGAGAATCCAGTCCGATATGGCCAATGCTGGGTTTTTGCTGGTGTCTTTAACACATGTAAGTATCCCATTGAGTAATTTCTTTTTAATGTCAAGGAAATTTCACTTTAAGACATTTTATCTATAACCTAAGACAGACATAGCAGCCTCTGTTGGCACTATGGAATTCATGCGTGAGTACTCTGGGATGTAGGCAATGCATAATTAAATTGTAGTGGGCCAAATATGCTCATGGTTTCTCTTTGACTGCAGAATCTTTTTAGAAGGAATGATAGACTATTTCCTGTGTAATCCACCATTTAATTCCTGAAGAAATAGAGGGTTACAGTAAGAATATAGGGGAAAATGCTGTTTTCTTTTCAGCCAGCACATTTTAAAAAACTAAAACAGTAAAAACTAAAATAATAAATAAGGAAAGATATATACTGCTTATTTGTTACTGAGAAGCTGTATAAATATGCGTATATATTTATTATTGAGAATTTCATAAACATATGCACTAAATTTTTATCCCAGTTATGGAAGGCATTATAGCAGGTGGTCTCGTATTCATTTTTACACGTGTCTCAATGCTCCTGAGCAATTAGAGATCAGAACATAATGAACAGTATTTCCCTCTCCAGTTTCCCCTCTGGCTTTTAATCCATCCAACATCCAATCTGTAGAGGAAAGCGTATGAGAACAGAATTATTCTCTCCAGTGTCATGCATCATTTTTCAAAGTGGCATTTGCCTCTCTAGATCCAAACAATATCACAATTAATTCAGTGAATATTTTTAAAAATACATTTGTTTCAGTATGTCTTCATCATTGGTAATGATTTTCATTCACAAGACATTTCTACAGCCTTAGAGAAACATTAAGCTCAAGTTGGGGTGTCCTTTCTGCCTGCTCATTAATAAAGAATGTTTTACCTAGTTAACATTTTTTAAATCAAAAACAAAGGGAGGGGCTGGAGGCTGGAGGGAAGCCATTTTAAAAAATGATTACAAAACCTAGTTGTTTTACCTCAAAGTCACAACAGTCTAAGTAAAAAAAAAAGAGTCTTGAGATTTTTGTTTGTTTGTTTGTTTTCCCGTAGTATCAAACGGGATAAGACTATTTTCTTAGCCATTTTAATATAGCCCAGGGCAGAAGGAATATATATTTCTTGGGAGCAATAAAAATCAAAAGTGTAGTCCTCTAGAAGCACTGGTCTCTGAAGTTCCAGACAGACGCCTGTACTTCATAGTAAGTTAAAGGTTGAAGTTTGTCCCCCTCCCTCAAGGCTCCTAAGTCAAGACTAGGTAGAAGATGCCCAACAGAGGCAACAACCACTCTTGTAAAATTATTTTAGGAAGACAGAAAAGACCCAAGTCCTCCCCATGCCTACAGTTTCACTGTCCAGTGTAATTCCTTCATGCTCACAGTCAGATAAAATAGTGAATGCTGGCCAGGTGCAGTGGCTCATGCCAGCAATCCCAGCATGAGTTTTGAATTCGCCTTCCACGAAGACAAGATCCCTACTTGAGCTTTTATCTTTTGTATTTCTTCCTCTCTTCTCCACATCATTCTTGAGCACTATTGGGAGGCTGAGGCAGGTGGATAATGTGAAGTCAAGAGTTCGAGACTAGCCTGACCAACATGGTGAAACCCTGTCTCTACTAAAAAATAAAAATAAAAAATTAGCCAGGTGTGGTGGCTGGCACCTGTAATCCCAGCTACTCAGGAGACTGAAGCAGGAGAATCACTTGAGATGGAAGTTGCAGTGAGCCGAGATCACACCATTGCTCTCCAGCCTGGGCAACAAGTGTGAAATTCTCTTTAAAAAAACATAGTGAACACCTTAATTCCATTCATGTCTTTGGCATAAAAAGGTTATCCAATCTATGCTGGAAAGCAAACTTTGGTGGTAAATTAAGAAAAAGGCAGAAACACACTGTGGGGAAACAGTGAGAGTAAACCTGAAGATGGAAATGGGGAGGGAGAAACAGGTGCCGTAATGTCAAGGCTCACTTTCTTGAAATGATGAGTAAGGCAGGCTCTTGACCAAGACGTGTTCTGGATAATGTGAATTAATGTTCAGTAGGAACAGAATGAAAGTGGCAATCGTTTTATTGGCAAGACCCCGGGTGAATAGGGCTGCAAATCAACAGAGGAAGACAGGAATGGGAGGCCCGTGGCAGCTGCCCCTGCTGTTTGGGGCATTAAGATCAAGTCCTTTAAGGAGGGGGACCCTTGAGTCTCTACCAGACCCCAGTTTGGACTTCCAAGGTTGTTCTGTTGAAGGAGGTGGGTAGTCTTTGGTTAAAAATGCTGAACTATTCTGAAGGAGAAAATAAAAAGGCAAGCCAAGTCATTAATCTTAAAATTGTCAGCTGAATTATTTTCAATGAGCCCTGATGTCTGGCGTCCTGGGAGCCAGGGAGGGCATTTGGATTAAGTTTAATCAATAGGTACATATGGCAAGAAAGGTATCCAAGTAATTTATTACCTAACAATTAAAATGAATGTGTAGTGTCACCCTCCAATGCATGTCACAAGAGCAAATTCTGGCCAGGTGAGCAAACTCCATCAAGGACCTGCTCTGTAAATTCCTAACTTCCTATTAGTGGGTTTGTGAAATTGTATTTTCAGGAGCATAGTCCCATTCACCAGACTAAAATAATACTACATTGATGATCATATGCTTAGAAACAAAACAATTAGAATCCTGTTGGGTTTCTACTCTAGCTGGCTTCATTTGACGCCAGCTACAGTTCTGAAGGATCACACAGCAAGACTTCTCTCCATCACCCCCTTTTCCAGCATGGAACATTTGAGGACATGTTCAACGGGCTTTTCATGTTGGTCATGAAGAAAGTCCCGTACGAGAGCAGGTTTAATCACTCTGTGTTTATTAAATGCTGGTGATGTGTTTAGCTATGGCCTATCCTTTCCTGTAGTTTTACGATGTCTTGGAATACCAGCAAGAGTTATTACCAATTATTTCTCGGCCCACGATAATGATGCCAATTTGCAAATGGACATCTTCCTGGAAGAAGATGGGAGCGTGAATTCCACCCTCACCAAGGATTCCGTGTGGTAAGTGTGATTGACAGTGACATTGCCTGATATCACATTATAGTAATGTTACACATTTACCACAAGATAGACTCGATCTGATGTTTCTTTCTGTTCTATTCTGAGGACCTTTCAATAGCATAGGCAGAAAAGTCTGATTGCCAAAGAATGTTTTAGCAAATGAATTAGAAATGTTACTGAAGAGACAGTTTGGTTTCCTAGTGATAAAAATCAATCATTCCTTATAATAGCAAGCAACAAAAAAAGGTCATGATTTTAGCTACTGCATATGTCTATACTAGTTCCTATCCACCTCGATATATTAATATTACAGTTAATAGCAGAAGTGTTGGAGCCAAGCGTTCTCTGGGTCAGTGCCCTAGGAGTAACATAGCTCACATTTATTAAGCACTTACTATGCATTAGTCTTTGTGTATGCATGATCTTATCCAATCCTTTCTAGTTTTATCAGGTGGATGTTATTAATATCCCCATTTACAGATGAGGAAGCTGAGGCCCAAAAAGGCTTGCTCAAGGTCATACATCTGGTGCTTCTGACCCTTAACCACAATCTTTTAAATAACTTCATCAAAATAGGATTGCTTTTTGAACGTAAAGATGAGATTCTCCTTGATTATATTGTCACCTTTCATTGAGATATAGAAATGGGAGTCAAGTTGAAATTGTTTCCAAATACCAACCGTGGGGTTCTCTCACTGCTCTGAGCAGCTTTATCACAAGCTGGCTAGAGGAAGCTTACGATCCTAGAGAAATTCCATTTGTCCTTGAGATCCCCAAGTCCAAATCAATACACTAAAAAGAAAGGAAACAAATATCCTAAGTTTAAATAGAATTTTTATCAAGGTCTGTGTGGGAGGAAATTTGGGCATAATTTCCTCTGTGGTCAGGCAATGAGCTAGGTAGAATTTCCAAGCCCAAAATAAGTCTCACACACAAATAATAAAGCTAAAACGTCTATTATAAAAGCATCCAAATGTGGATGGTAGGAAGTTATAAGTTCTTTTTAAGCAAAATGAAAAGTTAGAAGTGCCTGAACTTCCTCATGTTACAGGAATGGGTCACAGTTGTAGAAGCAGTAGGGGCAAACATTCATTGGGGAATGTTAAAAGGAAATTGCTGAATGAGTAGCAAAGTGCTACCATGAATTAAAAATAGTACAGTTCATTGGAAGGGAATGAGCTGAACCATAGTAAGCTGAAGGGTACGTGTAAGACAAAACCTTGTCTCTGTAAACTGAACAGAAATGCAAAGAATTATTTAAGCCTGCAGCATTACAATATAGCAGCCCTACATGTACATGGGATAACAAAAACAGATCAAAATAGGCACCCCCAAAACTCATCGCGATTGTTAAAAATGACAAAAAGATAGTTATTTGGCATTCTCCATATCTCTTCCTTACACACACACACACGTACACACACGTACACAATGCCTTTAGTAGCTAAATGCAGCCCAAAGTTATCCTTCCCAGTTCCTTGATTCAAATATCTCCCATCATCAAATAAATCCCCATGGGCACTCCAACAAATAACCCCCCAGACCCTAAACAGAATCAATACGAAATCATGAAGCTGCTAGATCTTGCTTTGGGTAACCCTGTCCTCTTTCAGGTTTCTGCTCCAAATTCCTTCCCCTTTCCCTTACACCATTTGCTCCTTTGGTGCCTTACTCAAATATCCTATCACCCTGGGACTGTGCTTCCTGGCCTGGGGCCCTCAGCCACCCTCCACTGTAGACCATGGCCCAAGATTCCTATTCCCTCCCTTTGCCTGACTTGTAGTAGGTTTTCGATGAATGATGCCTGATCGAATGCTCTGACTGACTGCGGGGCTGAGGCCAGCACAACTCAGGATGTGCCCGGACCATGGAGCACAGGGATTAAAGGGCTCAGTGAGATCCAAGGCCAGGGCTTGGCTCTGCGACTCCCCAAGCTGTGTGACCTTGGGCAAGGCACAACCTCTCTGTACCTCTTTTATCCTCTAAAGCAGAGAGAACAATATTCCCTGCTTCACTCAGCACAGAGCCGAGCATAACAGGTGCCTAATGAATGTTAGCTGCTATTATTGCCTTCATTATTAGTCACACAGCTGGAATTTCTTGGAGGCAATATGTTGCCATCAACCTAAGTACATCGAAGCTATCAGAAAAAGAGGGATGCCCAGTGTCCTAAGATGACTGTGCTATTTCTGTTACTTTGGGGTATTTTTAAAGAAAAAGCAGAACTTGACCTCACCAGTGCAAACACCCATGAAACTTGGAAGTTATAGGTGGTCCAGGAAAACAAAAGTATGACTGAGACCCTCCTGGGTTGAGGAGGCTGGTGCAGGCTGTTCCAGACATGTCAGCCAGTGCATGACCACAACAGCCACATCCCTATGTCAGGCTTTGGCTTGGGCAGCTACCTGCTGTGTGGCTTTGAGAAAATGACTTCACCTCTCTGAGCTTCAGTTTCCTCATCAGTAGAATGAAAGTAATCTTAGTAGTTACCATTTCCGGATGGGGTGGCTATCACGATTAAATCAGGTGATCCAGGGAGAGTGCTTACCATAGAGGTAGGCCTGATGCTTATTCAGTTAGTATTGGTCACTGGTAAGAAGTGGGGGCTGCCTGAGCAATGGGGCTGGTTTAGAAGTGTGAGGGTGGGGCACGGAGGTGAAACAGAGGCTGAGGTGGGGGTGGGAATGATTTGCTAGGCGTCAGCTGACCTCTGTGAGGTCAGTACAGTGTAGGCTGGCAACATGTGGCCTGATGGATTTCCTAGCAAGGGTCTCAGGAGCCATTGGCCTCACACTTACCTCCCTCTGCAGGCTCTGGTCAAACCCACCCATCCCAAACTGTCTTCCCTGCTCCTGGTTGGTGTGGCTGGGGCCCCTCTCCTCTCTAAGGAAAGGAGATCTGAGAACGACCTCTCGTCCTTCACCATCTATTTCCTCTTCAACACTCAGGTCCCAAGGATCCACAGTTTGTGATCAATTTGTCCAGTTAGGTCTCAATGACTCAGGGTGTCCTCTTCTCCATGACTCAGCCAGATACCAGCCTGCCAAAACTGGAATCGGACAGTAGGGAGGCTCAGAGGAAGCGCTCAAGAGTGTGTGAGAGGTGTATTCTGCTTGCCGCACTCCAGGGCCAGAAGTGACAAGTTTGGCTCTGTCTCTTGCTGTGACCCTTCTCCCCTTATGCAGACCCTCAAGGACAGACTACTTCCTGATTTGTCACCTTAGGTCCTCTGAATGATGGATGTTCCCCTCCAAGAGACAGCCTCACCTCAGAGGGGCTGCAGTTTTGCATAGGGCGGTCCCACTGTTGATGCCAACAGAGGCCATGGTCCAGGCCCCTTAGCTGTTCCGAAGAGAGCTGGGGACTCAGGATCCTCAGGCGGGCACAGCAGGCCAGAGTCATTAGATCCCAGGGTAGCAAATAAAACCCCAAGTGGGAAAATGCCAAGTAGTAGATCACGGAAGGAGCAATTTCGGCCGCCTGTCCCCAGTGTGCTGATGAGTTCTGAATTATGTGTAACCTCTTGGGGGTAGACGCTATGAATCACTGTGGACAGTTTAATGAAGATGCTTGCTCAATGTTTAGCTGCAGTCCAAACAGCAAATAGAAATATGAGGGCTCAGTGAGGTGGGAGTCAGGGCTACTCAGAGGGGCAGGGGGACAGCAATGGTTTGGCCTCGCCTTAGAAGAGCTCAGCTTGATCGCCTCTTTATACAAAGGTCACAGTCAAAATGGAAACAATTTTAAAAGACAGAGATGGTGGCACTTATTAGGATCATGAATGATTTTTCAATGAAAGGCTTTACTCCTTCTAAATGAAGATGCCTCCCTGTGTTCTTTTGCTGGAGTCAGTGTGGTCTGATTGGATGATTCTGGGTGAGGGTTCATGTCCTCCTCTTGGCTTTTCCCCATCAGAATGCACCCACACACAGGGGGAGCAGTGTTTCACCGATTATATTTTTGTTTTGTCAGCAAATAACAGTGTGCAGGGCATAGAGCAAGCACTGAATAAACGTAATTGGTTGGAAAAAAATTTTAATGCGTAAAAGCTCCATACAGCAATGGGTGGTCTTAATCTATAAACAAAGCTTTTTCAAAGCACATTTTTCCAGCAGAAATTAACCAGCTTTCACACCTGGGGCACTGCCCTAACCTAATTCTCATTATGTCCTCAGTACTCATACAGTGTTTTATACATTGTAGGAGCATTTTTGAAATTGAGACTGTTCTTCCTTTACATTATTTTAGATGTTCTCTATCACTCATCTAGTTGGACTTTTATATTGTGAAATTATCTTCAATTTTAATCACTGTCTGTAAAACACAATGATCTAAAAATGAATTCCAAATAAAATAGTGTAGAAGAAAAATTCTGAATATAGATCACATTGCTTAAAGATGCTAAGGGTTTGTAAAATTATCCTATGATGCATTGCAGTTGCCAGTTGTGGACAGTTATTGAAGATGTTTATGTTCAAACATTTTCCTGTTAACCATATTTCTGGCCATTCAAAATTAGTTTTAGGCAAATCACCTGGAGTTAGACCATGAGCTTTATCATTAGAGGACTGAGAATATACACTGAAGGTACACAATAGTGTTGGGAAAAAAAGTTATTTGCCACCTTCAGGGAGGCATTTTGTAACTCATGTTTACAAAATACTTTTTTTTTTTTTTTTGCATTGGGTCCTGATTTAACTGCTGACATGTATTAATTTAGTTCAACCTCTTAACAGCATGTTAAGGTAATTGGCATAGTAACTTAATCAAGGTCCCAGCCAATAAATGGCAGAACATGAATTACAAACCCAAGGAGGCTGACCCCAGAGCCCACTCTTTTTAAAATAACATTCTTATTGGCCAGGCATGGTGGCTCACATTTGGAATCCCAACATTTTGGGAGGCTAGTGTGGGAGGATCACTTGAGATCGGGAGTTTGAGACCAGCCTGGCCAACATGGTGATATCTTGTCTCTACTTAAAATACCAAAAAAAAAAAAA